GCTCAAAAGAACATGGGAGGGGAATGCTCTGAAATGGGGGATATGCCTGGTCATTCATCTGGTGTAACAGAACTTCATCAGGGTTAGAATCCAGAGTGAGCAGGGTAGTGGTGAACGGTCTGGCTGGCTGGCCAGGGCCCTGGAAAACTGGGGACACAGATGTCTAGGGTAGAGGCATATAGATATGTGACTGGGGAAGGGTATAGACTGCTGGCACGCCAGTGTCCACCAGAGAGCACCCACCACGAAGAGGAACTAAACTACATAAGAAAGGTGACACTAGCCAGTGTTGGTTGTTTGGCCATGCCGGTGCTGGAGCTCAATAGCACAGGCTCTGACTTATCAAGGCTGGTTCAGCTACTGTTGTGGCTGGACATCAAGCCTTCTAGTAGCAGACACCAATGCCAAGCTACCTGCTTGGCATCATTCCTGAGACAATTAGCCAGCCAAGCATAAATTGACTGTTTATAGCAAGCATGTCAAACTCGCAGCCAGGGGGCCGCATGCCACATTTCTTTAAACGAGGCATGTGGCCCCTTGGCCGAAAGTTTGACATGCTTGGTACAGGAACAGATGCTTACTGTGGGTGTGGGTTTGCTTTCCTGCCTGCAAGTCCTCAGGCGACCTCACTCTGAGGCTCATGGGGTGTCACAGAACACAACGCCAGACCAGAATAGCCTCCTCCCAGCAAAGGAGGTGTGGGAGTGGGTCCTCTGGCGGAGTCACAGTCAACACCTGCAGAAGCTGCCAGTCCTAGGAGCACTGGGATGACCCGCAGTACGAGAGTAGCACCAGCCAGCAGGTGTGCTCCAGGAGGATGGGCACTGTCTTCCAACTCACAGTATACACAATGCAAAGACCTTGGTATTGTACCATGTTCACAACAGGAAGAACACAAGCCTGGGAGAGAAAGGGTGGAAGTAGGAATGGCTGCACTTATGATCCCTCCCAATGATCTACTGAGGGACATTGTGCTTCCTCTCCTCACATCTCTGGGCGCTGCTGGCCCAGAGGGGGCACGCTTTGCTGGCAGACACAACAAGGGTCCCAGAGAACCTGAAGCTCTGACCACTGCCTGAGCACTTGATGTCTGAGCCCAGGTCCAGCAGGTGAGGAGGGGATGTGTGGAATCCTGAGGCCCACCAGGATCCCCTTCCTCCTTCCCTGCCAACTCCGGCTGAGCAGGGCATGATGACCAGGCTTCAGGCCTCTTGGGGACCAGTGACCTACCACCAGGGCAGCACTGAGGCCGGCAGAGGTGGTGAGGGGGGGTGATTTAACACAGGAAGGGAGAGGATGAGGTGAGGGAGGACTAAGACCAGCTATGGCAGGGCGGCTGCAGTTTGTCATATTAAGCCCTCTCCTCCTTTACATTCCTTGATTTAAACTATTTAAAACTTTCTATTTTGGGAATAATTTTAGACTTACTGAAAGATTACAAAAGTAGTATAGAGAGCTCTTGTCAACCCATCACCCAGCTCTCCCTTAACATTAACATCTTATATGACATTTTACAGTGACCAAAACCGTAACATTCCCATTGATATAATACGATGAATGGAACTACAAATCCTGCGCAAATGTTGCCAGTTTTCCCACTGCTGTCCTTTCTCTGATCAGGATCCTGAGAAGCCACACTGCACTGGGCTGTCAGTTCTTCTTGGCCTCCCCAGTCTGCAAAGGCTTCTCAGTCCTTCAGCGAGTTCTCCGACTGTGGCAGAAGGGCGCTGCTCTGCATCTATAGACATGCCACACCTGGACTGCCTGGCACTCCCTGGATGAGACTGAGGCAATGCACATCTGGCAGGACTCCAGCAGGCTGATGTGATGCCATTCTCCGTGCAGCACATGAAGGCAAACCACAGCCGATAGGCCTTGTTTCTGGTGAATTTAATCTCTCAGGAAGGAGGTGTCTGCAGGCTTCTCTACTTGAAAGTTACTAATTTTTCTATCGTAAATAATGCAAGGATGCAAATATCCTTCTTCTCATGGTACTTTTACTACCCACTAATTTTAACATCCACGTAGTTCTTGCCTGCAGCAGTTACCACTGTCTAATCCTCTTCCTCTAAGTCTCCCCCAGGAAGAGAGGACTCTGGAACCTGGAGGAACTGCCCCCTGCAAACTGAAGAGGCAGATCCAAGGGACAAGAGGTGGGCTGTGGCACATGCAGAGATGTGCCGCTGAGATCCACTACAGGGAGGTCTTGCTGCCCCAGCTGCTGGCAGTGCCATCAGCAAACATCCATTAGCTCCCGAGGGGACTTCCCCGCTGCAGAGAGCCACCCGTCCATGGGCACAGCCCACACTCAGTGATAATGGACATAAAGGAAGCAGCCACTTCGGTCCACTGTGGTACATCTATTAAGAGGCCATATATTCCCCGTGGGATAGCAGAAGCTTTGTTGGGCCTGCTCACAGTTCAATTTCTCCCCCTATCTCTTCCTTGTCCCTTCAATAGGTATTGGCTACTTAACTCCACTTAGCATCTGCTTTTGGAGACACTACAGGAATACCTCAGAGACACTGCAGATTGGGTTACAGACCATCGCAATAAAGTGAATATGACAATAAAGCAATTCACATGAATTTGTTTCCCAATGCATATACAAGTTATGTTCATACCATACTGTAGTCTATTACATGTGCAATAGCAGATGTCTAGAGACAATGTACATACTTTATTTAAAAACACTTTATAGCTAGAAAACTCTAACCAGCATCTGAGCCATCAGCAAGTCATTATCTTTGCTGGTGGAGGGTCCTGCTCGGTGTTGACAGCTGCACACCAATCAGGGTGTTGGTTGCTGAACGTGGGGGTGGCTGTGGCAATTTCTTAAAATAAGACGAGACTGAAGTTTGCCACACTGACGGACTCTTCCTTTCATGAACAAACTGACTCTCTGTAGCATGTGATATTACTTGATAGCATTTCCCTAGAGTAGAACTTCTTTCAAAACTGGAGTCAGTCCTCTCAAACCTGCTGCTGTTTCATCAGCGAAGTTTATGTAGTGTTCTACATCTTTTTCTGCCAGTCCAACCATTTTCACAGTATCTTCATGAGTAGATTCCATCTTAAAAAAACCACTTTCTTTGCTCATGCATGAGAAGCAACTCCCCATCCATTAGAGCAGCGGTTCGCAATCTGTGGGTCGCGATCCCTTCGGGGGTCGAACGACCCTTTCACAGGGGTCGCCTAAGACCATCGGAAAACACATATATAATTACATATTGTTTTTGTGATTAATCACTATGCTTTAATTATGTTCAATTTGTAACAATGAAATTGGGGGTCACCACAACATGAGAAACTGTATTAAAGGGTCGCGGCACTAGGAAGGTTGAGAACCACTACATTAGAGGTTTATCATGAGTGCAGCACTACAGTCACTTCTTCAGGTTTCACTTCTAACTCTAGTTCTCCTGCTATTTCCACCACATCTGCAGTTACTTCCTCCATGAGGGCTTGAACCCCCAAAGTCACCCATGAGGGTTGGAATCAACTCCTTCCAAACTGTTAACGGTGATATTTTGACCTCCTCCCAGGAATGATAAATGATCTAAATGACATCTAGAATGGGAAATCCTTTCTAGAAGGATTTCAATGTACTTTGTATGGCAGCTATAGCCTTACAAAATGTATTCCTTAAATAGTAAGACTTGAAAACCAAAATTACTCCTAAGTCTATGGGCTGTAGAATGGCTGTGGTGTTAGCAGGCATGAAAACAACATTAGTTTCACTGTACATTTCAGTCGGAGCTCTTGGTTGACCAGGTGGATTGGCAATGAGCAGTAATATTTTGAAAGAAATCTTTTTTCTAAGCAGTTGGTCTCAACAGTGGGCTTGAAATATTCAGTAAACCATATTGTAAATAGATGAGCTGTCATTCAGGCTTTGCTGTTCCATTTACAGAGCACAGGCAGAGCAGATTTAGTATAATTCTTCAGGGCCCAAGGATTTTTGGGGTGGTAAGTGAACATCGGCTTCAGCTGAAAGTTACCAGCTGCATTAGCCCCTCACAAGAGTCAGCCTGTCCTTTGAAGCCAGACACTGACTTCTCCTCTCTAGTTATGAAATCCCTAGATGGCATCTTCCTCCAACATAAGGCTGTTTCATCTACAATGAAAACCTGTTCAGTGTGGCCACCTTCATTAATGATCTTGGCTAGAGCTTCTGGATAACATGCTGCAGCTTCTACATCAGCACTCGCCTCTTCGCCCTGCACTTCCATGTTATCGAGGCAGCGTCTTTCCTTAAACCCCAACCTCTGCTGGCTTCAGACTTTTCTTTGGCAGCTTCCTCACCTCTCTCAGTTTCCACAGACTTGAAGAGTTAGGGCCTTGCTCTGGATTAGGCTTTGGTGTAAGGGAAAGCCATGGCTTGTTTGATTTTAAAACTTCCTACATATCAGCAATAAGGTTATTTTGCTTTTGTATCAGTTGTATGTTCACTGGAGTAGCATTTTTCATTTCCTTCTAGAACTTTTCCTTTGCATTCATAGCTTGGCTAACTGATGCAAGAGGTCTAGCTTTTGGCCTATCTTGGCTTTCAACACACCTTCCTCACTAAGCTGAATCATTTCTAAGTTCTGATTTAAGGTGAGACAAGTGTGACTCATCCTTTCACGTAGAGTGTAGCTTTTAGGTAATTAGGTATAAAAGACCCTTCCAGTGCAAACTCTGTTGTATGGGTTACAAATTGGGTATTTACTAATAGTGGATGTCAATATTAACTATGTAGAGATATAAATTTCTCACTGAATGAGGTCCTTCTCTAGAAAATGAGATTGAACAGTGTCCATAGATGTTCTATAAACCAATATGAAAATGTATGATTTCATGAATTAAAAAATATAAGTTAATGAACAAGAAATGAGTTACAAGTGTATTTGATGAAAAGTCCCCATAGAATGACACCCTGTATATATTAGGAAACCAATAACCAAATTAGATTTCTTCAGGAAGTTTTCTAAAATGATTTTTTAAAACGAGGTACTCACAGATGCTCCTCCCATAATCTTGGGAAACATAACGGTGGAACAGCCATCTGGACTCTGTCCGAAGGTAGTATAGGGTGTTTGAAACCAAGCCTTTTCATTGGCCCAAACCACATCACAAAGAGGCAATATGGATGCTCCTAGTCCAATGGCAGGGCCATTTACTGCTACAATAATAGGCTTCTTAAACTGAATGAAAGTATTCACGAAGTTTCTAAAATGAAAAATAAATGGGGAATTACTCAAAATATTATGTATTTGAGCAACAAAAAAACCCACTATTATGGAATTCAATTTACTAGGATGTAAACTCTGTGAAAATTATGAGTTGAGATTTGTTGAAGGCCATCCCTCAGGAGTTGTGGCCCATGGATTTATTTGTTGTGTGCTAGAAAGGCTTACTGATACCCAAGCTGCCATGTTGGAAGTGGCTGTTGCAACAGGACCTATCTGAAGATGATGGGCAACATACAGCCTGAGGCTGCTCTTACATTTGCAGTGGCTCATGGGCTCTATGACCAGTATGTTTTTCCCCTCAGCCTTCCTTCCCTTTAAGACACAAGAAGCCCAATAACCATCATGAGCTTCAGATGACCAATCTAGAAGCTCTCACAGAGAAAACCTAGCACAGGGCATACTATTAACACTGTCCAATGTTGAGCAAAGACTGGAGGATTGTGGTCAGGAACCATGGGGTTGGGATCTGGACTGGATTATGTGATTTTAGACAGCTGATTATTTGGAAACAACAGATATTTCCTGAGTTTATATAGGACTAGACTGAATGCCATTGAGGATATAGAGACAAGAAGCTTACAGGCTGGTTTAAAATATGAGATTCAAACAAGAAGAGCAGAAACCATAGACACCATTCTGAACTTGACTGTATGTTGTGGAATACAATTAAAGCAGGATTTCAGAGGAGAGTGAGACTAAGGGTAGGATGGCCTTCACAGAGGATGGGATATTTTACAAAATGGAGCCAAAGCTATTTGTAGATTTGTTTTAGGTTCAGGCTGGAATAGTAGGCTGCTTGAGGGTAGGTTGGTGCCATGCCATACTGGGAATGTGCACCTTCTCCACCACTAGAAGCTCTTTTTATGCTCAGAGGTTGCTTTTTTGTTCTGCTTTAACATGGGGAAGAGAAGGAAAAATACACACCAAAATAAGTACCCAATAATTCCTTTAAGGCAGTCTTAGCTCCAGATCAGAATCACAGAATTCTAAATTCTAAATCTGACCCCTATCTTTGGGTGTTCTCTACCATTCAGCAATTTAAAAGCTAGAGCATTCTGTTCAGATTTTCTCTGAAAATCATGATTTGGCATCTTAGATAGTACCCCTGCTCCCCACTGACACAGAGGGCCATATATTTTTTCGAGGACGGGTTGGGGGATGTGTATGTGTGTGCATGGGTAGAACAGGAAAAAAGGAGGGACTGTATGCAGAATTTGGCAGTTTGCAAGCCTAGTTCCATAAACTGTTCTCAAAGGTACCCATAGTCATAGACCTCAGCCTGGTCCCCAAAGTTTGCTGAATCTTTTTCTTGAATGAAAATAAATTCATTCAAATGAATGAGTTGCACTAAGACTTTTTAAATGAGAGCACCTAAGGCACTGGTAGAAAGATCACACTGGGTTTTACTGATACAAAGAGAGCCAGGCAATCTTTTAAATAGGTCCTTGAAATAACTGTTGACAATCTACATGAAGATACTTGCATGTCTTTCCACTTTCATCTACCTCATATGAACATCAGGAAACTACGAATGGGATGGTAGATTAACATGGAAAAAATGATCAAAATAGTGTAATAATAAATTCTATAGAGAAATGGTAAAAGGAATTAATTATTCCATGTAGCAGTGTTTTCTCTCTCTACATGTTTGGATAAAAGAAAAAAGGTTCTAAGATAGATATTGCAAAATCAAAGCTTGTATTTTTAACAAGCTGGAGAAATATTTTTGGAACTGGATCTCCCACCCCTTGGTGCTGCTTTAATTGTTATTTTTGCTTGGAATGATAACTTAATCTGAAAGCCATAGCTGTTTCTGAGAAGGGGATGAATTTAGTCAGCACCCTCTGGGGTGAAGATATGTTCTCTTTTCAGAGAACACAACCTGGACCTTTGTGAACACATCCTAGAGTATAAACTCTAGGATGCCAGAGATGAGCATGGTTCTCAGATAAATTGGTTTTGTTTAAAAACACAAAAACAAAACAAAACTTTATCGAGTTGCTTTTCTGTTTAGTATAAACTTCCCAGTCACTACCAGAAGTGGGGATGCGGAGCTGCCTTCAGGGCTGGGGATGAAGCTCCAAGGGCCTGGCATTCAAGGAGAACCTGTTTTCCTTGCTTTTGCAAGTTATTTTAAAACAAAATCAAAATGCATGGATGTTCAAATGTGCTCAGCTCAATGCAACATATTGAATTTAAAATTCAGTTTCCTTTGAATTGTCTGCAAATTGAATTAAAGACTGTGTGGGTATGACAACGAAGGAAATATCATTGGCCACAAATGGAGTTTTAAAAGACTTATAATTAAACAAAATAAAAATTCTATCCATTCTTTTGAAGAACATTTATTTTTATTTATTTATTTATTTTTTAAAATATATTTTATTGATTTTTTACAGAGAGGAAGGGAGAGAAATAGAGAGTTAGAAACATCGATCAGCTGCCTCCTGCACATCTCCCACTGGGGATGTGCCCGCAACCCAGGTACATGCCCTTAACCGGAATCGAACCTGGGACCCTTCAGTCCGCAGGCCGACGCTCTATCCACTGAGCCAAACCGGTTTCGGCATGAAGAACATTTAATACTTCACAGACATACCAAAGAGTTAGAAACTCACATAAACCCACTACTCTAGGAACTGTTTGAGGGAAATGAGGTCACCAGATCTGAAGTTTTAGTAGCTCACTGCCCCATCTCAGCTGAGCTCTCCCTTCATAGTGAATATACAGAATAGGGCTGAATGGGGGAGCGGTGGGTTCTAGGGGCATGCTTACTCACCTGCCTTGTTCTTTACCCAGGTCTCTGTCTCGCTCTGTGGTGGTAGAAGATGCCCCCCTCTGGGAAGAGAAGGCTCCCTGGTCTTTCAGTTCCCGAAGATTTCAAAAGCCTAACTTTACAAACTGACTCGTAATAATTTTATCACTAATGTACCAAATATTTTTATTACAATTTATTTGTAAGCTGTTTATCACCAATAATTCTGATAACAGAATTAGCAGCAGTAGATTCCTGACAAAGCTAATGTTTAAATCTAATCTTATTTCCTACTTTTCTTTTGGAAACTTGCTATAATGACATTCTTTGCCCCGAAGTTATAAGAAATCAAGACAAGATACCAAAGAAACAAAAAAATACACATAGCAATAGCTTTATGTGTATAGGCTAATTTTATACATATAAAACTTAATTGAAATGCAAATGAGCAAGAGTAAAAGTTAAGTGAATCTGGTGTAACTAATTATTTTTAGGATCTTGCTAGTGTACATTAAGAAAAATTCACAATGACAAAAATATATTCATTTCTTTAAAGAAGACCCAAGTTAAGTTTCCCTAAAGCAGGATTTGACTTTTCCCTAGAATACTGATTCAGTTCTTATGAGGAGTGAGGAGAGTGGGAAGGTCAGGAGAAAAAGTGGGGGAGTGGGTAGTTGATGAAAATAAACATTTAGCATTACCTAGAAGTTTAACAAATGAAATCTCTCTAATCTATCTCTCCTCTGCTTTTTCTAATCCCAACAATATGAGCCTTAGCCTTGACAAGAGCAATTCAACCCTGGAGGAATGGGCTGGGATTAGGGTTGAGGCACCAACAAGATTTAGAAATGGCGCACTGGGAAATGCCTGTGGGGTGAAGTGAGCCAGCACTGAGAAGCATTGGCTGGCAAGGTCTATTTTCTTAACACAGCAGATCTCCCCAAATCACAGTATTATGTGTAAAATCAGTGTGCTCTTACAGAAAACATGCGGTCACCATCTAAGACATGATTTGTACCAGAAAAATAAAAATTAAGTTCACTAGTTCATCCTGAAAAGATAGAATGGACTTAACAATTAGGATTGTCTTAGAGACAATCTCTGACAATCTCTCAAGGAATCACATGGATGGTCAAGCAGTTTAATTTCAAACTGAATAACAAGATGGTCCCATCTAGCATTCTACAAATTTGAAATTATTTAGGAGACTAAAAATAACACTTGAAATGAAAGTATTTTTGAAAAACTACTATATGATAGCTTAAGAAATGGTAATGTTCAAGAAGACTAAGAAATAAACAATGCCTGTATACATGTATATACCATATGAGAAAACATAATTTTGAAAATCATTAAAAATGTTATAAAAGGCCAAAGTAATGCCCGACATGTGGAGATCTGTCAGAGAGAGATGCCACACGCAACTCCAGACCTACCAAAACAGAAGCGCACTCTACCAATCTTGACATGCACTTCTGAATGGATTAGGGACAACAAAGCTGTGTCCCCAAGGTCACTGCTTAGGGTCTCAGCCACACGAAGCCCAGTAATTATCAAAAGAGGCTCAACGTCAACTCTCCAAATACCTAGGGATTTTAGAGACGACCCAACCAACTTTATTGCCATTTTGCAAATCTGTGACTCTCTAAGTTTTCATCTTTCTGTAAATAGCAAAGGGTCCTTAACGGCTCACTTAGAGACATGTCATTTTAGGGAGGTGTGTGGGGAGCACAATGGTCCTCTTGGTTGGTGACTCGGCTTCATTCACTTTAATCTTCACTCAAGGCTTTATTTATTTATTTATTTATTTATTTATTTATTTATTTATTTAAGGAGACAGACAGACAGACAGACAGACATTGATGTGAGAGAGAAACATGGACTAGTTGTCTCTCATATGCACCTCATCCATGGACCAAACCCGATACCTAGGTATGTGACTGGTAACCAAACCTTCGAGCTTTTTGTGCATGGGATGCCACTCCAACCAACTGAACCACACCAGCCAGGGCTGGGTTTCATTCACTTTAAATAAATAAGTACATTTCACTATGGAAAATTAGATACTTTAGATACATATAGTAATTAGCATGAGAAATGAGGGACATAAAATATATGCACCTGGACATGCTTATAGCAGAATTATGTGGTTCTAGGAAAAGATTTTCAACTGTTAAGATATAGTAGTGGAAAAATCCAAAAACAGAAACAGAGAAAATGGAAACATCGAGTCATATTATTAAATGAATAAAGGAAGTTGTAAAACAACACTGTATAATTCCATTTATTTAACAGAAATAAAAGTAAAGCTTTATTGTGTGTGTGTGTGTGTGTGTGTGTGTGTGTGTGTAATACATATTTAAAAATGTTTAGAAAATGGTTGGGGAAGACATACAAATGAACTGTAGATGGGGGGTGAGATAGAGAAAACTTTTACTTTTTACTCTATGTTATAGTTTTATGTGTCGTTGACGCTCAGGATAAATTTGAAAAAGAATGTGTACTGCTTATACTAAAAAAAAAAAAACACAACAAAACTTTTCGTGTGATATTATGAAACTGGATCATCACAAAGCCTAGACAATTTATTTTAGAGTCAAGCAAATATAAATTATTATGTGAAAGAGAATGCATCTTTATTTAAGGGGCGAAGACAGAACACACTCATATGACAAATAATGTGGCTATATGCTATTGTATACTCTAATCATTAAATGTTCCCTGAGTACTTCACAGGGTTTGAGCCAGACTTGAAATCAGTTATTTGCTCAAGGCAAGTAGTAACGTATGCCAGGCCCACAGAAAAGATAGATGATTTAATTACTTTTACTACTCGTGTCTCCCAGTGGAAGGAGATGTACATTTCATTCACAAGCTTGTTTAAGCCTGTCCTATCAGCCATTGGTAACTAAAAGCAAAACACTCAAACCAATGTTTTAAAAATGCCATTCATGCATACCTGATAGCTTCAGCCATTTTAGTGCTTTCTCTTTTTCTGTCATCTGTTAAGCGCCGTATGAAATAAAGAAAGTCGAGACCGCAGCAGAAGACGCTGCCCACCGCGCTGAGCAGCACGAGCTTGCTGTCGTCGGCAGCAGCCGTGCTCAGTGCGCTCTGGACTTCTTTCATTACCTGAAAGTCACCAAAAATTAAAGTGGCAAAGAGTATTTTTGATACAGAATCCTAAAAGCATTTCATTGTGGAATATCTAGATCTACACAAAGTAGATTTACAGCCTAATACTGTTCCCTGTATCTACCACAATTTAAAATAACTCACAGATTTCTTATTTCTGTAACCAAAGATTGGGAATGCTAGCCAGAAAGTATAATTGGAAAGACATGTGAATCTAAGTTACCTTAATATCCCAGTCATTGTGGCTCTCACAAGATAAGGCAAATTACATATTATGTCCACTTGAAACAGCAGTTGACACATTCAACCATTGAAAGAAACCAGTTCAGTTCCCTGGGTTTTGTTGTTGTTGCTGAACACCAGCTTGCCACACTTGAGACAGAAATCCCAATAGTGTGGTGCTTAAGTGCATTAGGTGCTAGGATCTGAGCATGGAGACTGTAAGAAAGGCACAAAACCATTTGGAATCATCTCTGCAGCATTTACAAATAACCAATGAAGGGGCTCTGTAGTCTGAAAATGGACTGGGAACCAGTGCCGAACTGGTTTGTCATGTGACCCTGGCCAGATATACAAACTTGATGCAGTTTGGTTTTCTTGTTTGGGAAAAACTTGACCTCGCTGCTCACAAGTGGAAAACAAGCAATTACCAGAACTTTAAATTTTAAATAAGGTACAATGCGAGTTCAAATACTTCTGATTTTAGATATTACTAGAACCAAGGTTATCTATTTAGGTCAAAGAATTAAACCTTTGCAAGCATTAGTTTCCCTTGATCCTTGAAAACTAACTTTACCAGGTACTACAAGTAGTGAACATGTGTTGAAATTGTTGTAGGTGTTAAGTTCCACTTCCATGCTGAAGATTGACTGGGAATGATGTTAAAATACTCTGAACGGGTTGAAACCCAGGGTTATTTCAGTCTTGTTACAACAAAGAACCCTTTGAGAATCTGATGACGAGATAAAGAAAAGAATGTGCGCACACACATTCTACATTAACTTCAGGGAGGCGGGAATCTCCCAGATGCCCCACACGCCCCCAGGTTAAGAGCTCATAACCTGGAGCACAATTACCACCTCCTCCATTCAGAACTCTGGTTCCTGTCCCAATCCACACCCTTGACAATGAAGATGGACACTCAACACATGCATACTGTCCCGACTTCACTGCAGTCATGAGGGTTACAAGGACCAAGACTGTCACACTTCACCTGTGCTTCCTACCTCCTGGTGGTTACTATGAAATGGCCCAGAAGGAGAGTTAGAAAAACACACAAAAAAGGGCCAATTTGGCTGAGCAGGCCTGGCAAACAGGGCCTGGAGAAACAGGACGCACAAAGCAGCCCAAGGAACATTTCTCACCTCTGGATTTAGTGAGTTATTCTCTGATGATTTTGTTGATAACAAGATGTGGGTGAAGCCATCCTGCTTCCTGACGACAATATCTCTGTATCTGTAGGCACTTTCTGTTTGCCTCACACTGAAACGCAACCGCTTGTCAAAAGGCTGGTCTCTTCTGTCGTCAAGAAATTTCCTTTTCCCGGCTGTCACTCCTGTAACAGATGTCTGTATGTTGGTTGTTCCATTAGCTGTTAATGCGTCCATAAACGGAGATGTACCTGCCAAGAGTTTGAAATCACAGTGGTCTGTGATGTCCTGCTACCAATTTCACTCCCAGTGTCATCTTTGAATTAGTTAAAAATGTTCCTTACAAACTCAGAATTGTAACGTTTTAATGCAAGAACATTAAAAATCAGAAACTTTGGAAAGCCTACTTTTAAGGGCATTTGTTTTCCATCAAAGTCTGACAAGGAAATCACCCTCTTGCTTATTTTGCCTAAAAAAGAAAGATGGGAAGGTATTTGCTGAAAGAAGCAACAAAATTTGAGACTTCTGAAGAATGGTATTAAAAGAGAATGGGTCTCATGGATAATACCTATTCCAGGCTTGAGAAGTTGAAAGGAAAAAGGAAACTGATTCAAGAAAATATCTTATTAGAACCAAAATAATCTATCAACTTGTGCAGACACACGATGCAACCACCAATTTATTTTTTTAAAAAATATTTTTTATTGATTTTTTTAGAGAGAGGAAGGGAGAGGGATAGAGAGATAGAAACATCTATGAGAGAGAAAAAATAGATCAGCTGCCTCCTGCATGTCTCCTACTGGGGATTGAGTCCGCAAACAAGGTACATGCCCTTGACCAGAACTGAACCCAGAACCCTTCGGTCCGTGGGCTGATGCTCTAGTCACTGAGCCAAACCAGTTAAGGTGCAACCATCCATTTCTGCGGGGCTGCTCTACCAATTGGTGCCATGGCTGCCACTGCAGACCACCAGCCCTAGTGAGGTACTCAAGATACTCAGGAGTTCCTTTGGATGTCCTGGGATGTGACCACTTATGATGCCTGTCCAGGGGTCCTAGCTCTACTACATGTTCTATCACTAAAGACAGCTCTCTTTCCTGCCACCAAAAGTTCCTGCCTGTGGCAGCTCCTCAACGTCAAACCTGGCTGCTGTTTTTCAATTCGTCTTAAAGATATGATCTCCTGAATTTAATATTTATTATGATAAAGTCAAGAGTTTTATTTAATACTTTCCTAGGGTTACCAAGAAATGTCAGGGTAAGAATTCAAGTATTAGGTAAATAATTATCCTCCTATTTATATGACCTGTCTACATATTATCTAACCTGGTAATGAGTACACAGAGCCTTTGGGTAGAAGAAAGGGAAGGAAATGTAAGAAAACTGCTTAATAAAATTAGCAATGGAGAAGTTAAGTTCTCTAAGAAGAAGAACATGATAAAATATGAGTTGGAAGCATTTCCTCCAAAGGGAAAGAATAGGCCAAGGCCACCAAAGAAGATTCACAACAGGACATTTAGAGAAGTCAAATCATTTCCGATGTAAAACCACCTGATTTTTATTCAACTGGCACAAGTATTTTGGAAAACTTTTTTAATCAATTCAGTTTGTTTAAAAATTGGAAGAGATTAACATACATGTAAATAGTTCAAGAGTCTAAAAATGTAAAAAAGACATATGGTGAAAGGCCTCCCATCATCTCCCCGTCTCTAAGGTGCCATCTACCCAGGACCCTCAGCCCTCCAGTTAGCCACTGTCTGGTTTCCATGTATCCTTGAAATATCTGTGGGCCCTGAGGAAAAACAGATCTGATGTAAACCCCAAGAAGAAATGTATATGTTGAAATAAACTTCCAATGATGAACTGAAGGTCCAAATTTTATAAAGAATGAGTCTAGCAGCCATTTGCTGACAGGGGCTCCTCCAATACTCTGTATATTGGGAAAATCCTTAGACTGAACTCTCGGCTTCCCACACTGTGGCCTGCTTGTGTAGGCTGTCTGAGTCACCCACTGCAGGGAAGCCCTACTTTCATCTTTCTATCAGTGGATTGAAACCTGTTCCGTTCAATCAGAAGTGGACAATTGTATCCTCATTTACTTTTATAACAACCAGTCAGAATTGTACAATTTGGACTAACTGGGAACCTGGTTGGAAACTTTCTTGATAAAAGGTAGCCTCATCCTAGCCAGATTTGGTCAGTGGTTAGAGCCTTGGCCCGCAGATGGGTCTTGGGTTCGATTACTGGTCAAGGGCACGCACCTCAGCTGCAGGTTTCCCAGCCCAAATAGAGGTGCATGCAGGAGCAACCAATCAATGTGTCTCTCTCATGTCGATGTTTCTTTCTCTCTTTCCCTCTCCTACCTCCCTTCCACTCTCTCTGGAAATCAGCGGAAAAAATATCCTCCAGTGAGGATAGAAAAAAAGGGCAGCTTCCCCTCTGTCTCAGTGGAGTGCACTTTCAGTTTGCACTGGATGCTGTATTTTCCCAGTTTGCAAACTGTTTCTCCTGAAAAATAAAATAAAATAAAATAAAATAAAATAAAATAAAATAAAATAAAATAAAAAGAAGTCTCCCCTTTCCTGCACCTCTTGGGGAATTTTGGTTTACAGTATATGCAAGCAGATAAGAATATAAATATTTCTACTTCAACCCTCCTTTAAAAAATACAAATGGTAGTATACCAGACATAGTGTTTTGTCATATCTTGTTTTTATTCATTTGCTTTATCTTAGAAATTGTTGTCTATCAGGCCAGTTTTCTTATTCTTTTCTAAAGCTGCACAGCAGTCCACTGAATAAATGTACTATAATTCATTTTACTAACCCACAGGGCAACATACACTAATATCCAACAATTTTTTGATATTTCAAACAATACTGTGACACATAACCTTGGCTTATGTCATCCCAATGCTGGCAAATCTATAGGATACGCTTCTAAAGGATTTGTAACCTAAAGTATGTCTAACTGAAAGAGGATTTAATAAGCTGTTACCAGTAAGACAAGCTGAATCCTTCTGAGGACCCTTTCTCTTTCTGTTAACCTTCCATCTCTCCGGTATCAGATCATTCCCCATCTGTGTTCAAAAATGTCCTCCAATCTTTTCTACTCTAGATATCCCCTCTAATCTGCTCTTCGCAGCACTATCTTCTACTCACATGTCCCTTACAGCTTAACTTGGTCTATATTTGCTGTCTCCACTTTCACCTCTGTCCATCATTCCTCAACCCACTCCAATTTGAAGCTGGAGTTGACATGACCAGACAACTTCTTGAGAACAGAGAAATGGATCATGAATGATTATGAACTACAGAACCTAGTGCCCAGGAGACAGGGATACTAATAGGAGAATTTGATGTAGCTGAAGAAGGATGAGATGAAGATAAATTAGATTTTATTCAGGTGAAGTTGCTACTGAGCACAAAAGAGGGAGCAGAAGTCAAGGCTGGAGATAAGTACTTGGGAATTGGTGCCCATAAATGATTGCTGAATTGAGAGTAGGAACACCAAAGGGAAGAGTGAGGAATGAGCCTGCTGGGGAGAGCCATGTGCAGGACCAGGAGGCAACAGAGAAGCCAGAAGGCAACAACAGGCTTCCCAAAAGGAAAGAGAGAATGCCATGGCAACAGGATGTGTCAGTAGTGGCATACACAGAGAGGTAAAGGAGAATGGAGAAGAAGTAATTGGAGGGAGGGAAAAAGGGGAGATTAGAAGTCATTAAAAAACTCAGGCAAGTTGTTTCACTAGAGTACTAAGGGTAAAAGCTAGACTATAGGATTCAAGAAAGACAGATAAAAGTTGTTAAATAAAAAACATAATGTTCAAATGAGGAATGTGCTAAAATGATGCTTCAAAAGCCCAGCTGACATGGCTCAGTGGTTGAGTATTGACCTATGAATCAGGAGGTCATGGTTTGGTTCCCGATCAGGGCATATGCCTGGGTTGTGGGCTTGATCCCCAGTGTGGAATGTGTAGAAGGTAGCTGATCAATGATTATCTTTCATCATTGATATTTCTATCTACCTTCTCCCTGTCTCTTTAAAATCAATAAAAACATATATATTTTTTAAATGCTGCTTTAAGGAACAGAGAAATACAACTGCAGGTGAGTGGACAACTGATCTTTAGGTGATGGCTGACAATAATGATTTCCCTGACTAAAAAGAGATCACATCAGAAATAATCCTGTGCAGATGCAAGCTGGAAGGCCACATGACTTGGGGGTAAAGGGTGAGGTGACAGAGGTGTGATGAGTGGAGACAGGCTAGAGGCTCCAGCCTTCTTGGGAAGAGGGATTCTTGCAGACTACACATGCCAGGGTGATAACAAGTGAGAGCTGTTTGGGTCTTTAAAAGTTACTAACTCCAAACTAGTTTTTAGTTGGTGCTACACCAATGCACATTAGAATGCTCTCAGCAACAGAGGAGGCAGTGTTGGCCTAGGTAGCAGGCTTTTACCAGGACAAAATCCCACACTGTTCGTGTTTCTCAGTGTCATTTCTTTTCCTATTTAAAAAAGCCACACATTCCTTAACTCTCCAAGAAGTTTTCCTGGTGGCTTCCTTCCACAAAGCAGGATTTCTAGGATACGAAGTGCATGTCGCCTTTATACATGAATCAGAAAAAGCCCAACTTTTTTTTTTTTTTTTTTAAGGCAATGGGTCCTATGGAGCTATCCATGGTTCTGCAAATTTAGAAATGATTCATGTTGGCTCATGCTGACCAGGACTGTTGAACCTGGCCTCCATCTTCCTGTTAAAACTGTACTGGCTCAAGGTTGCCATTACAGTCCCTGCTGATTTCACCCACCCCAATATGACTCCCGAGATCCTCTGTTGTCCACCTATGGGGCGATATAACATCTCTGTGGCCTAATTTAGGGAGAGAAGTGTTTACAGCTGGACTGTCTCAGAATCAGACTGCCAGCACTGAGCTAGGTCCTGACTCTTGGCGGGAGTATCAAATGGCTGGTTTCTTCTGCTTATCTAGATGGCAGGTCAAATGCCACCTCCTCAGAGAAGCCCTCTTGAACCACCCCATCTAATGTGGGCCCCTTCCCATCACCATTTTCCAATTGCCCCTCTTTGTTTTTTGTAGCACTCCTCACCAGTTATTCCTTTCTCATTTGATTTGTATTTATAGTACTAGAGGCCCGGTGCATGGAATTGTGCACTGGTGGGGTCCCTTGGCCTGGCCTGCGGACATCCCCTGAGGGGTCCTGGATTGTGAGAGGGCACAGGCCAGGTCGAG